TTTAGTACAGTATATTTACTAAAAATGTAAAGGTTATCCTATAGAAATTAACTTGATTAGACCACTGACTCATTTAGACATAAATATGGAAGGCCCCCCTCAACCTAACAGTGGTCTAACCTAATGATTTTTTGACAAAAAATGATACAATATGTATCATTTTGATATAGTTAACTTTCTATTTTAAATTTTATCCTTTAAAAAAAAGTTTATCTTTAAAATTATGTTCTGGAATATTTGCTATGTGTGTACACTTAAGACAACCTGCTTTCAGTAACTAATGTTGTTTATTTTTGTAGCAGGAATTTTTTTGAAACTTTTATTGGCATTATATTTTAGTTAGATAAAGCAGTAGTACATAATTCCCTTAATTATCGTTAGATTATAGATGTTTCTCAATTTATGTTGGGGTCACTTCCAGAAACTTACATCATTAAGTTGAAAATGCATTTAATATATCCAATTTACCGAATACCTCAGCTTAGCCCAGACTACCCAAAATTTGTCCAGAACCTAGATGAACCTGTGCCAGGACGGTCACCTTATGTAAGGCATATGTTATACTGAAGTGTTAAATATCTCATGTAATTTATTGAGTACTTTATCAGAAAATCACTACCAATATCATATATGAGGTATGATTGAAAAATAGGCTGAAAGCTTTACATTTTATTGCAGTTATAGATACATTGCCATTAACCTGCCCCCCGGGGAGGGGGGAACCCAAAAAACCGAAAGCTTCCTCTTCAAACACACAGTTCATCATTCTTGCCACTTTCTGGAGCAGCTCTGGAAGTCCTCTTTGAAGTTTTTCTGCTGTGCTCTCCTGACTGCCTTGATTGATGTCTTAAACAGATTCAAAATATTTATCTTTCATGGTCATTTTGACTTTGCGGAAGACCAAGTGCCAGCTGTAAAATAACATTATATTCTGTAATATGTTTGTGAGCCTGGCTTTCCTTGCCATGGGTGGCACTAAGCAGCAGCATTCACCTGTGTGTTTATCATGCCTCCTGAAGACATTCATGAAAGAGGACTTTCAGAGCTGCAGCAGAAAGTGGCAGGAGAGTGAGGTCAGTGTTTGCAGTGAGGGGGAGTGTTGGAAGAGAATTTGTGACAGTGTATCTTTTACTGTAATAAATACTTTTAACTTAAAAATTCCCTTTATGTATTGATGACCCCTCCTACACTGGAAGGTGAGCCTTTTCTCCCCCACATGGCTGCCTGACTGTCACTGCCTGGAATCAGCACCTATCATTAGTCCCAACAGAAGGTCACAGTTGAAGTATAATTTTATAAAGTCAAAAAATCATTAGAAACAAACAAAAAAAAAAACATTAGGTCAGACCACTGTTAGGTTGAGGGGGGGCCTTCCATATTTATGTCTAAATGAGTCAGTGGTCGAACCAAGTTAATTTCTATCGGATAACCTTTACATTTTTAGTAAATATACTGTACTAAAACTTAATACTCTTGCATATTTGCTTTCCTTGGGTAGGTCTTTGTTTAAGTTTTGTAGATAGCTAAGTGTCAAAATATTTGAATTGGGACTTGAATAAGAAGGTAATGGACTGGGGAGGAATTGCTGATTCCCCTAATGTGCTTCTGGTTGTATTGTGAATTCAGGGGAGTAACCGTTTATTAGACTGCAGATTCTCCCTTTCTCAGAGAAACCTGTCCAGGTTTAACTGTAGTTCTTAATTTTATTGTTAAGCTTGTTAATGATCTTAGAAGAAAAAGTAGAGAAAACTACTGCCACAAACACCTTTTCAGAAGTTTATGCTTCCTGAGGAAAATTATGAACACACAGCAAAAGCAATACAGTTTTTTTTAGAGTAGGGGAATATTCATCCTTTTCTTGTCAAGAGTTAACACTTTGTGTAGAACTTGGCTTGGATTATTAATTGTTGGCTTGGGTTTCTCTTACTAAGTCATCTATCTAAAATCAGAAAAAGAGAACATGAAGTTTGTTTTTATATTCCTTCAAGGTTCAGTTTTCCTTAGGGAAGCTGGCAGAGAATGTACGAGCAAATGCATTAGTATATATTAATATATTCAGAAATTGAGGATTTTCTGATTGCTGTTTTTATTCATTTAATTTCTATTCATTTAATTTTTGTGGTGCTGATGTTTGCTGTTTTTGCAGTGGTCTTTGACTTTTTCTCTCTCTGTCATTTAAATGTTTTATGGTTTATACTCTGAGGTACCTGACTTAGGTTAACATTTCCAGGACACAGAAGCACATAATATAATAATGCCAGGAGTAGCTGGCTTTGTTAGTTTTCTTTAATTTTAACTTAAGTATTCTAAAATTTCATTGCCCTGAAATTTGGTGATTAGCAAGTGCTCCAGTTTCCACGATTGTCATTCCATCTTTGGGTTTGTGGGTCTTGGGTGTTTTCTTAAGATATAGTGCATGGAGTAGAAAAATAGAAATAGTACTTCCAGTTCTGTCAGTACATTTAGGTAGATTACTGAATGTCTTGACTACTGTTTTTTTCATTTGCCACATGAGGAAGATGACAAAAATCTGTCTTTTCTACTTTGTGCAGTTCTAAATAAGAGAGGAAAATGAGATTGCTGGAAATTTTTTAAAATATAGAAACTAGCCAATTCCAGGTATGGCAGCATATACCTGTAACTCTGGTACTTGATGGCTGATGTTTGAGTTTGAGATCACCTGGACTATACTGCAAAATCCTGACTAAAAAACTACCATTTTCAACATTTATAAGTTGTTATGGCCATGATCAGTTTTATGCTTTTTGTGTTTTTCACTTTGTAGACTTTGGTACAATCAGCTTTAAGAACCTCTGTATAGTATTCATGGATAATTTTTGCCTGTTTCTCTACTTATTTATTACAAAATACTGTATTCTAACAAGCTTTCTTATTGACCACTCCTCTGTTCATGACTGGCTTTAAGATTGTTTTCTCTCAATTACCTTTGTCATTATGTCTGTCTTACTCAAAAGAAATGTTCTTTTGTAAAACACTTACTTTGGAAATCCTATTTATTAGCATTTAAGTCTTTTTAAAAAACACTTGATAAAACTACTTGGTCTATTCTGCAGCCAGAGAAAATTAACTCTTTCAAAAGATTTTTCTTATAAAAATAATTTTCAGATAGTTAGAACTTACCAGATATATGTATTTCCATTCCCTAGAAATGTTGCCACTGTTAAAAACTTAATCTTATTCTTATGTTTTGATTTTTTATTTTTTTAGTACCGAGAATGGAACTCGCAACCTTGAACTTACCAGGCAAACAGTGTGCTGCTAAGCTATTTCCCTGGCCCTACTTGATTTTATTCTTTCTGATAGCTTGCTTGCTTGCTTACTTGCTTTTCTTTTGAGTAAATGAACATATAAAATAAGCATACATGTGTTTTTTCACTTCAGAGTAAGCAATACTATAGATTCTTCTGGTTGCTTTTTTCAGGTGATAAATTCAGTACCTTTAATATCAGTGTATGCAGAGTTACTTCATTCTGATAGTGTTTCATTAAACTAATACACTGCATTTAACCAAAATTTTTGTTTTCCTTTTTTTGGTACCAGGGATTGAACTTAGGACATACACTGCCAGGCAGGTGCTTAAGCCACTGAGCTATCTCACTGGCTATTCAGAATTCCTTTTTTTTTTTTTTTTTTTTTTTTTTTTTTTGCGGAACCAGGGATTGAACTCAGGTCCTTGCACTTGCCAGCAAGGCGCTTATTCCACTGAGCCATCTCCCCAGCCCCAGAATTCTTGATGTAGAAAGATTTGTTCTTTCATTTTGTTGCTTTAATTATCCGTTTTAAACAACTGAAGTATATTTTATTCTGTTTGGGTGGAGGTTTTGCTTTTGTGAGTGAATCTGTTTACGAATCAGAATCTTGTTTCTCCTTTTTTGGAATTTCAGGTAATTTATTTGGAAGAAATCTGTTGTGCTCCTTCATGTTGAGACACTATGCTAGGCATTGAGGCTACAGATGAATGTCACAGCTGCTCTCAAGGACAGACTTGAGGAGTGTTTCACTTCCGTCAACACACTAGTCATGCCATTCCTCCCCTGAGAGGGTGGGACCTAGCTTCTGGACAAAATGCCAGTCATTGTTTAATGTGTTACTTCAGGACTATTCTTACACCTTACTTCTGCTTCCCAATAGTCACAACAGTTGCATGTTCTTGAATGACGCGCGCGCGCGCGTGTGTGTGTGTGTGTGTGTGTGTGTGTGTATTACTGCTCTGATGGTATTTATTTTTAAAACAGGTTATATTTTTGACAGCATTTGGGAAAAATTTGTTGAATGTGTATACACATTCTGGACATTGAACACAGTCACTGTGGCTACAAATATGATATGGCCCTGTTGTCACAGTTATAACCTACAGAGGACAGGAGAAGAAGAAAATGTAGACCCACAGCTCACCTGAATCTTTATGTAGTACATGTCTGGTATATAGTCCCTTATAGGTTTTTTGTGTGGGGTTGTTTTGTTTTGTTTTGTTTTTCTGTCTTTTTGAGGCAGGGTCTCATGCTGTGCAGTTCAGGCTGGCCTTGAGCTCACTTTGTAACCCAGGCTGGACTCAGACTTGCAACGAACCTCCTGCCTCAGCCTCCTGAATGCTGAGCTTGTAGGTATGCACCACCATGTCTGGCAGTCTGCTAGTTTGGGGCGCCACTATTAATTAACAACACTTTCTTTTTAAGTATCATTTCTTTTTAAGAAAGCTGGTTCCTAAACCAGGTTTTTTGAGTTTCCTCTTTGCCATAACTACCTCACAGTCTTTATGTTGGATATAGGTTCTGGAGTATTTGAAATAGTTGAAATTTAAAGATTCTAGTGAAAAGCTTTACTTTTATCAAAGATTTCTCTAATCATATTATTTTCTTGTCTAATACCTATGTAAATTTTGAAATTAAGACTTTGTACCAAATAGCATTTATGGTTAGGATTTTTAAATTTGGATACTGTAAGCAGTCTAATTTTTTTTTTTTTTTTCATTTTTACAGCGGGGCCATACGGAATATTTGCTGGAAGAGATGCCTCCAGAGGACTCGCGACATTTTGCCTTGATAAGGATGCACTTAGAGATGAGTATGATGACCTCTCAGATTTGAATGCAGTACAGATGGAGAGTGTTCGAGAATGGGAAATGCAGTTTAAAGGTACTTGCATTTTGTTGGTTCTTGAGAAAATAAACTTATGTTCAGAGGAGACACATGCTATCCCACATGCTGGAGCTTACGGGTGTCATGTTTTATTGGCATCGTTATTAGATGGTAGTTTAAACATAGCTAAATGTTAATGTGATTATTGTAATAATTATTTGGAAACTATGTTAAACTTCTTATAAGATATGTCTAAAACATTATACTTTTGGTCTTTTTTGTTTTTAAAAGTATGACCTGTATTCAAAATGAATTGGTGGGGGGCTGTTTAGAGCCATGACACTGAGTACCACCAGAAAAAAGTGATGTTGATACTGTAATTAAATTTATTCCAGAATGACTTTATTGGTTTTGCTATCCAACAGTTAAGAAATATTCTTCCCGATTATACTTTCGTGACACTGGTTTTTACTACCTGTGTGACACTGACCTATTTATGTGAGCCCTAAAGCCCTCGGAACACCTACTTCAGCTTCCTGGCATGTGTGCTGGTTGAATTGTGTGACTTAGTCCTTTTAGCTCATCCTCCTGGCAGCTGATTCAGTCTCCCTAAGTTTAGTTCACTTATCCTAGGTTTCAATTCCTGACCAAGAAACAAACATATTGTTACCTACAAACTTCTAAATTAAACAGAAAAGGCAAAAGAGTTAGAAAGGGGAAAATAATGTGCTGGAAGACACATGCAGGCCTCTGTCACAGGGTGGCCACTGGCAGATGAGTTTCCATCCTACACTTGGTTTACTTTCTTGAGGGTCCCTGCTGCCCGTCACACGTCCTAAGAGCACCTCACTTGGCTCCACTTGCTGTACGGCTCTTTACCTCCTGCAGGCTTCCACAGCCTTCTTTAGCTCCATGGGAGTCACCATTCCTTTTTTCATGGTCTGTACTGTAAAATATTAGTCCTAAGTTTTGTGCATACCTTTTCCATGCAAAATCTATTTTAAAAATTGTTATGTATAGGTGTAGATTCTCTATGCTGAATAAAAGTGGAAAAGGAAAAAAAAAAAAACATAGAAATTCTCAACATTGCCCACTCATTTCTTCAATTCTAATAGTTGGGGCTATTGAAAATTAAAGAACTGTTCTGAGAGTCACAAAGCACATTAGCCTAGCTTCACTATCTCCAGGCCTAATCTAAGAGCTGGAGATGGGCAGCTTGAAGGTAGATTCCACCCACATGTATTTTTAAAAAGATTTTGAAGTGATCTGGATGTGGTGGCGCACAGGGAAATAGTAGCAACTCCTTTTTTTCATTATTGTGTTGTGTTTAAAGATTCAGGTTCTCAGTCAGGCATGGTGGTACACACCTGTGATCCCAGTACTCTGGAGGCCAAGGTAGGAGGATCCTTGCAAGTTCAGAGACCAGCTGGGGTACAAAGTGATGTCAAAACCAGCCTGAACTGCACAGCCAGACACGGTCTCAAAAAGCCAAAAAAAAAAAAAAATTCCAAGTTATTCCGTGCAGTGTCTGACTGAGAGCTACTGATATGAACACTGCCCTGCAAAGAATAATTCCCACGCATTATTAGTTTCCTAACACTCTTGCTCAAACTTCACGTGTAAAAAGATCAGCCATGGTGAATCATTAGGAAAGATTTAGCTGTTCTGTATGTTTCTAAAAGCACCAAGTGCCTGCTTTTCAAAAACCCTGTAGTGGAATAGTGAAACAACTTTGACTGGTGATTTTCTTTTGCTGTATCTTTCAGAGAAATACGATTATGTAGGCAGACTCCTAAAACCTGGAGAAGAACCTTCAGAATATACAGATGAAGAAGACACCAAGGATCACAATAAACAGGATTGAACTTTGTAAACAACCAAAGTCAGGGGCCTTCAGAACTGCAGTTCTTACTCCCTTTCACAGAATGTCCAGTGTCTTGTTTTCACCTGCTGCGAAAAATATTCGACCGATTGTATACAAGACGAGTCTCATCGTGAAGATTTGAATACTAGACATTATGTATGCTGCCAAACTCATTTGTTGCAGTTGTT